AAATATATTTTTATTGATTTTAGAGAGGAAGGGAGAGGGACAGAGAGAGAGAAACATCAATGATGAGAGTCATTGATCAGCTGCCTCCTGCACGCCCCACACTGGGGATAGAGGCCGAAACCTGAGCTGACTGGAATCAAACAGTGACCTCCTGGTTCATAGATCGATGCTCAACCACTGAGCTATGCCAGCAGTGTATTTATGTTTTTTCAAAGATCCTTCTAGATGCTCCCTGGAGAAGGGCTAGCAGGAATGGAAGGACTTAGAAGCCTGTTGCAATCATGGCAGAGATGACGGTGGCTAATGTGGCACATGCTAGAAAGAGGAGTCGAGGACATTCCCTGGCATGTGGCTTCCGTCTTGCTTTCATCTTAAGCAGTGACTGAGTTTACTTGTAAAGAAGTTCGAGTTTAGTTCCTCCTTTTATAAAATCACTAGCACTCTTCTCAGAAGCCCTGTCTTTAGGTCCCTGCCTCCTCTCTCTGTCCCTACCTTCCCCTCACTCTTGCTGGAGGGAATAGACTGCCCCGGGTCACTGAGTTGCCCAGCCCCGAGTTTCTCCAAGACCCTAATTAGGACCCTGCTTCTGACATGCCTCACAGAGGCACCCGGTCCCTGTGCCTTCCTGGCAGGGAACCAGCACGTGGCTAGGCCGGGAAGGTGGTGCTCACAGAGGGAGTGATTAAAGGACTTAATTCTCTAAGTAAATTCCACCTTTTGGCATCCCAGTGGCTAATTTTAACTTGCTGCTTTCTTAAATTTCATCAAATGCCTCTTAAGAGTGCAGAAATCTGAATGTGGGCGGCTGGAGCTGACTGTTTGCCAAGATGCGAGGAGTAAACACTGACAGCCTCGGGGGTTTTGAGCCCTGAGCTTTTTTATTGGTTTTTTCATAAGGAGGTTTAAGGTGCAAGAGAAAGTACACAGGAGATGGAAACAGGTCAAGAAGGATTAACTTGGTGAAGCCGACCATGGGGGAGATCAAAGGTTTTGCCCAACTAAGAAAGTGGGAAAACATGCTGGTTTTCCCTGGCAGCTGCCAAACTGAGCAAGGCTACAGCATCTGAGTTCCTGTGACTCTTAAGACCTGGCAGGGCATGACCTCAGAGTCCCCACCCTGGGGCACTTGGGGAACACTGGCCTGGGACTTGGAGACCCTGGGTTTGTGTCCAGGCTCTGCCCCAGATTCTTATCGGGGATTTTCAGGAAGCCACCAACTCTGAACCTGTAAGAAAGTACAATGGCACTTATCTACCTACCTCCCAGGGCTGCGAATTATAAAGCTCTTTATAAACAAAGACCATTATTCAGATTGTTATTTATCTTCACCACTAAGAATTAAATATTCCAGTTACCTCTTTGGCATAATAAAACAGACATAGAGCAACCACTGTTTTATTACTGTTTTATTGTGCCCACAGTGACCTGCCCAGATCCTGAAGGATAAACCAAATAAACCCAGCCAGAAAATGAACTGGGGAAAATAAACAAAAACAAACAAAAAAAAGAAACAGAAAATGAACTGGGGGTTGCCCTGAGCCCCCCAGGTTGGGGTAACAATAGCAGCTGAAACAATGGGCTCCTGGACAGACAGGCGCAGAGGTTCTATGGGACAGCTCTCCTCCTCCCACTCCCCTCCCCCCCCCCCCCCCCCCGACTCGGACACACAGACCCACATGGTGGTGTCCTCTGCTCCATCCCCTCCCCAGCAGGTCCCTTGGCTCTCCCGTACCTCCTTGCTTCTCCAGAAAACACTTTCTAAACTTGCCTCAAGGTTGTTCCCTCTTTTCAATCCAAGTCTAGTTTGAATGACAGCTCTCCTGACATTATGTTTCTACTTTGCCAACATTCTCTGAGCTGGAACCTGCCTCACAGCCCAAATGCAGGTCCTTGTGTTGTGGCCTCAAATCTGGCTCTGCCAGCTTCCAATCCAGACACCCTCCTGGATATGTCCCCCAGCCCTGAGGTTGTCAAGGCCTCTCAGGACTACGAGAGAGCCTCTATCTCACTTATACACCTATCAGAGTGGCTACAGTAAGAACAGTGACACCACCAAATGCAGGCGAGGACACGGAGAAACCACATTCTGGGTACACCACTGTACATGGGTAATAAAGTGACATCAAACTACCCACACACATACCAGGGTCAGCATCTGGCTTAGTGTTGACTGACTTACAGGAGTTTAACCACTTGGTGGCGCAGGGAGACAAGCAGAATGGTTCCTCTAACAACTGTACTCTCTGCCGTGCTGAGTGTCCTGGGCAGAATAATGTCTCCAAGATGTCACCTCCTGGTCCTGGAACCTGTCAGTGTGACCTCATTCAGCACAAGGGACTCTGCAGATGGGATTATGTTAAGGATGTTGAGGTGGGGTCTGGCCCTGGATTTTCCAATTGGCCCTAAATCAATCCATCTGAGGGGCCATAGGAGAGGGAGGGGAAGACGAGTCAGAGAGCTGGAGGCTCTCCCAGTGTCTTGTCCTCATGTCTGGTGCTGGGTTTGGGATCGTGCTGGCATTTCCACAGGTAAGGGTGCGCTGTTGCCTGGGTTTCGGTTTTACACCGCTTTGTGGTCAGGTTGATAAAGACGATTAGAATGCATCCCATTGTGTCACACTGCCTTCATCTGGCCCCCATCCTGACCCACTGAGCCATCTGGATCCTGATTCTGCAATTTGGTCTTCCTGCCTCCTCCTGGCTGTAGATCTAAGACATGAGCTGTGTGTGCCATCCAGGATGCTGACATGAGGGTGCCCAAGTGGGGCATGCACTGGGCACTTGGCAGGCTGTCCACTGGGCACAGGCACAGGCAGTACCGGAGCACTTCACTGCGGCTCCCTCCCCGCCTCCCCTCCCCCCATGGGCTATCACTCAGCACTAAGCCCAACAACCTAATCACTTACTTAGACACCTCCCTGGGCTCAAGTCACACTCATTGGTCTGGAGTTTGTGGAATTCTGTCTCCCTCCCTTTGCTCAGATGACTCTTCTACAGGCTTTTCTATAATCGCTCATGGACTGGCAGCCAGTGAGCAACACTGCAGGGCAGCTTTGGGACACAGTTGAGTCAGGGCTCCCGACTCTCCCCAGGAGGAACCCAGTGTCCAGTGCTGTGCACACTGTTGCACATCTAGGGGCATCCGTCTCTTATTCATCATCTTCCAGTGAGCAAATGGTCCATCGGTGTCCGTGGCTCCTGGCACAGACTCTGCTCCGTTTAGAAACCTCTGAGTGTAAGGCCCATCCGTGTCCTCCCAGAAGGCCCCAAATGGGATTTTGTGGTTGTATTTGATCTCAAGCCAACAATGCCACTTTTTTTCTTGGAACATTTATCATGTCTCATGAGGCAATGGTTTAAGACCACCCATCACTCGCACCTCAGAGCCAGAACGGAAGCTGTAATACTGGAGGGCTCTGGCTGTGAAGAATTCCAGTCAAACTGGAGATTTTCTCACTTTGGACATGGTACTGAGCACACGCCTGTCATTTTCTGCCTTGGGTTCATCTATTATTTTATTATTATTATGTTTCATCCTGATTTCTCCAGGTGAGCCAGAGTAACTTCATTGTTGGAAAATAACAAATTTCCTGAAGCAGCCCCAAACCTCTAGCTGCACAAGGAGCCAGCGCTCACTCGGGGACTTGCAGAACTGCAACCCTTCATCCCCAGGATTACTGGGCAGCAGACAGCCTGAGGGCACCATAAATCTGAAACGCCATCTGTCTCGGGAGGGAGAGTGGAGGCCTGTAAATGCTAAGGCCATGAATGGGAGCAATTTCCGGAGCAAGTTTCTTCCTGTTGTGCAAGGTTAACATTTGTTCAGCCTTCAGTGTTCGCCAACTCAGATCTGTCACCTCAAGGAGCCTCCCAGACCTGGAAGCTTCTCCACTTCTTAGTGATGCAAACGTGGACACCTGCAGTGCCTGGGTTTGGGTGTAATCTCATTGGGGTGACTCCTCTGAACTGTCTTGTTCAGATGACCAGCCCTTGTCAAAACTGTCCTCCTGCCCCTGGGGAGGGGTGAAGGGTTGTGGAGATCTCTGCTGCTGAGCTGAAAGGTGGGGGATCCTGACTATTTCTGAAGCTGCAAGGCTATAGGCAGGTGCCCTGGTCTGTCCAGTCTCACCTTTCTCCCCGCTGGGTTGGGAGGGCTCATGCATGAAGGGACCACGTAGGTGAGTCCACAGGTGGTGCCACACAGGGAGCCTGTGGCTCCACTTTCTCCCCTTCCTTGGCAGACCAGGTGTGTGATGAATAGGGAAATGATTTTGTGTATTTTTGTTTATGGTCTGGACAAGAGACGCTTAAGAAGCCAAAGAGAAACTACAGTCCTGGTCAAGGAGGCTAAGTCGGCAGGGAAGGACTGCTGCTGCCTGCTGACCACGGCCCGCTGCCCGCCCTGAAAATGATCGGGAGCACCACTGGATGCCGGTCGAGGATGCGCCTGTGCCTTCGATCCCCCCAGGCCTGCCTGGCCCGAGCAGTGGTGTCCATTCTCTCCTTTGTACATCATTATATATTGTCCTCCTTCTAAACCCCTCTCCTGAATCCCAGAGCAGCCCTCTGTGCCGGAGTTACGGCCCACGTGAGAAAAACGATAAACCAGCAGGACCCTCTCTCCAGGGGGTGCAGAGTGCACCAGGTCTCTCAGGGGTCCCCTCGGGTACCCCAGAGCCTCTCCGCGGTGCGACCCTCGCTGCGAGCCCTGCCCCTGGGAGAGGTCGCCGGGCGCGGGTGGGGAGGCTGACCGGTGCAGCGGCGCAGAGGGGGCACACCAAGCCTCATGGACACCAGGCGCCAACGTCAAGCACCGAACACTACGGACAGGAGGTTAAGGGGCCGAGCACCATCTGTGATCCGCCCCTTCGGCCTGACCAGGCTCCGCCCCTTCCTCCCCCAGCCTCTCCTCCTCTGCGCAGACCCCGCCTCCTCTGCGCAGACCCCGCCTCCTCTGCGCAGACCCCGCCGGCTCCGCCCATTTCCCTGGGCCGCCCGCCCTCCCCCGGGACCCCTTCTGGCTGCGCAGCGTGCGCGCCCGGGTTTCCTACACGTGGGAGCCCAAGACGCCTCCTGCAATGCCGCGGGCGCCCCGGTGCCGCGCCGTGCGCGCTCTGCTGCGGGGCCACTACCGGGAGGTGCTGCCGCTGGACACCTTCGTGCGGCGCTTGGGTCCCCAGGGCCGGTGCCTGGTGCAGCCCGGGGACCCGATGGCCTTTCGCGCCCTGGTGGCCCAGTGCCTGGTGTGTGTGCCTTGGGACGCACAGCCACCCCCCGTCGCCCCGGACTTTCGCCAGGTGGGCTTCCCGGGGACCCTGGTCGGGCCTGCGGGGTGGGGTGAGGGCCGGACGCTGTCGCCCTAATGCTCCCGGGCACCTCCGTGCCCTGCGACTCGAGCGAGACCCCTCTCCCGCAGGTGTCCTGCCTGAAGGAGCTGGTGGCCAGGGTCGTGCAGCGGCTCTGCGAGCGCGGCGCGAGGAACGTGCTGGCCTTCGGCTTCGCGCTGCTGGACGGGGCCCGCGGCGGCCCGCCCATGGCCTTCACGACCAACGTGCGCAGCTACCTGCCCAACACTGTGACTGAGACGCTGCGCGGCAGTGGTGCCTGGGGACTGCTGCTGCGCCGCGTGGGTGACGACGTGCTCACCCACCTGCTGGCACGCTGCGCGCTTTACCTGCTAGTGCCTCCCAACTGTGCCTACCAGGTGTGCGGGCCACCACTCTACGACCTCTGCACCACAAGACACGCGGGCGGGAGCCTGACGGGCCTGGGACCCACGCGCCAGGCCTGGAATGGCGGCGGTGGGGAGGCCGGGGTGCCCCCGGGCTGCCGAACAAGGCGACGGCGGAGCAGCGCAGGGGGAAGTCCGCCTCAGGCCAAGAGGCCCAGGCATGGCCCCATCTCAGAGCCATCCCGGGGGCCAAGTGCCTGCGACCCCCGCGTGGTGACACCTACCAAAGCCGCCGCGGAAGCCTCGCCTGGGGAGGGCGAGCCGCGCAGGCCCCGGCGCCCCTTACCACTGCTGGGCCGCGAGCGGGAGGCCGGCTGCCCTTCCTCTCAGCCCTCACGTCCCCGGGCCGCTCCTGGTCCCCGAGTGGTCGCTGAGACCAAGCAGTTTCTCTACTGCTCGGGTGGCAGGGAACGGCTGCGCTCCTCCTTCCTGCTCAACTCCCTGCAGCCCAGCCTGACGGGGGCCCGGAGACTAGTGGAAACCATCTTTCTGGACTCGAAGCCCCTGCAGCGGGGGACTCCCCGCAGGACGCGCCGCCTTCCCACGCGCTACTGGCGGATGAGGCCCTTGTTCCAGGAGCTGCTGGGGAACCATGCGCGGTGCCCCTACGGCGCGCTGCTCAGGGAGCACTGCCCGCTGCGGGACTCAGCCACTCCGGCCACCCCAGCAGCGGCGGAGGAGGCGGCGGCTGTGGGGTCCCGCAACCAGGGGTGCAGTGGAGTGGGCGTCAGCGCCCCGGAGGAGGTCACTGGCCCGCCGCGCTTGGTCCAGCTGCTCCGCCAGCACAGCAGCCCTAAGCACGTGTACGGGCTGCTGCGGGCCTGTCTTCGCAGGCTGGTGCCCGCTCGCCTCTGGGGCTCCAGGCACAACGAGTGCCGCTTCTTGAAGAACGTGAAGAAGTTCATCTCTCTGGGGAAGTTCGCCAAGCTCTTGAGTCAGGAGCTGACCTGGAAGATGAAAGTGCAGGACTGCGCCTGGCTGAGCCAAAGCCCAGGTGAGGAGGTGGGTGCCAGGGCCCTACAAGCCCAGGCCCCATAACCGGCAACACAGTAGGTCCCCTCCTTCCCTTACCCCCACACGCCTTGCTTCTTGCTGCTGCTGAATGGCTCTGTCTGGTTTCTCTGCCTCTGATCCGCTCTCCCAACCAGTTTGCATCAACCTACAAGACTTTTCAGGACTCTGGCGGGTTCTGGGTGCTGGGAATGGGCAGTAAGCACATGGAGCATGTGGAGTAGGGCTGTGGCAACAGGATGGAAGCATCCAGAGCTCTCCTGAGGGTTCCCGAACGTTATTCATAATCTCCTTTCTGACATTCATGTTTATCACCATGAAATAGTGCCCCGCTGAGACAGAGGCTGGGAATAGAATCCACTTTTGCCGGGGGATAGGAGTTAAAGCTCTGGCTTCCCAGATGCATCTGTTCAGCCAATACCAGATCCCAATGTAAGTTTCAATTGTGCAGCTGCTATGCCAGGGCAGGGCAGCCGGATGAGTGAAAAGACTGTTCTGCACAAGGACCCTCCCCGTCTTTGGGAAGAAAAGGGTCACCAGGGAACAGCAGGACGCTCCTCCTATGTCAGGGAAGTGGATGGTTGCAATGGGCGCTTCAGGGAGTTTTCTGTCAACCTGGCCTGGCTCTCCCCCCAGCCCTCTGGTTTTCTGGGCTTGATGATGAGGTCCCTCTGGTCCAGCCACCACTCAGCCCCTTCTTGGCCAGTACCCTCTTCGTCTGCGCACCAGTGCCAGGTGGTGGGACCAGCCACCCTCCCTGCCCCCCCCCCCCCCGACAGAGAAAAAGCAGTGAGAACAGTCATAAGTTTTGCTATACTTGATCTCCCCCAACTCCCAAGACATCTAGGACTTTAGAATAAAGATGGTTCGAGCCCTCTGTTACAGCCAGACTAGCCCACTCAGATGCATGTTACAGCTTTCTGGGGTGGGGGACCTTAAAAATGCCCATCTCCATCCCAGAGATCCCAATAGCAGGGATGTCCTACAGGGAGGCAGAGGGGTACACCTTCTCAGACTCCCAAGAGGTGATTCAGACAGCAAGGTGACCTTCCGGCAACTTGTGTGTTTTTTTTTTCAATTGTGGAAAACACCACATAACATGAGATCTACCTCTTTTTTAAAAAAATATATTTTATTGATTTTTTACAGAGAGGAAGGGAGAGGGATAGAGAGCTAGAAACATCTATGAGAGAGAAACGTTGATCAGCTGCCTCCTGCACACCCTCTACTGGGGATGTGCCCACAACCAAGGTACATGCCCTTGACCAGAATCAAACCTGGGACCTTTCAGTCCACAGGCTGACGCTCTATCCACTGAGCCAAACTAGTTAGGGTGAGATCTACCTCTTAACCACTGTTTGCATGTACAGGACAGCAGTGCTGAGTGTAAGCAGGGTTGCACAGCAGATCTCTAGAACTTGTTCATACTGCGTGACTCGTACACCCACAGACCACGTGGGACAGTGTGGGTGACCCTCAGGTACATCAGACTCAGTTGAGTTAGCTGTCACACGCTCACTGTATTTGGGGCTTCCGCTTGCCTTGTGAAAGGAAAGGAGAGTTTGACTTCTAAGACTCTGTTCCCCAACTTCCAATGAGGCCCTGCTCTACCATGGTGTTTTCCCAGGCGACTAGTACCTCTGCGGCATCCTTGCTCACTCAAGCGGTACCCTAGGCATTTGTTTCTTTCTGTGGCTGGGCCATGCCAGCTGCCCACTGGCGGAATAAATGATGCACGGACAGCGTTGGCCTCTGAGCCACCTCTCCAATCACGGCTGTTCACGGTCACCTCTTCCACCCTCTCCTCCTGGGACACTCCTTCCTCTGTGCTGGCCTTCTGCCCTGCCAGGCGCTCTGTTCACAGCATCCAGCTCCTTTGCTTCTGTCTAGCCAGCCTTGACCATTGTCCCACCTGCCATGCTGCCTTTTGACTCCCGTCAGCTGCCTGGTCCCCAGCCTTGGAGGCCAGACTGCCAGCTGACGCATCTGCTGTAGTGTTTAGAGACATCGCAAGACAGGTTCCTGATGGAAACTCAGGAGCTGCCACGGCTCCTTGCTTGCTTGCTTACTGTCTCCCTGGGCTGTCTTATCCTTGGGCTGGTGGAAACCCCTGCCCCTAACCTGGGCTTACACTGCTGCTGGCTTAGGTGGTGCTCTGCCTCCAACTCACATCTGACCACACCATCACTTTTCCTGAACTCCCATCCAAGTGTGTCCCTCCTGTAGAGGCCACCTTTACCTTCAGGGCAGAGTCTGGGTGGGGCCTTTACCGGATCTTTGTTTTGAATTCCGTTAGTTTTTCTGATGGTTATATCCTTCCTCTGCTCTTGGGCTTGTCCTCTGACCGCTCAGGTGGATGTCTGGCGGCGCCTTCTCTTTGGTCCTGCTCAGCTGCGCCTGTGTTCTGATGTGTTGCTCACATTTTTGTATCAACTGCATTTAAGTATTTTTTGCCGTTTCTCCTTTGATCAGTGAGTTCTTTAGACATATATTTTAGATTTTTCAAATGAGTGGGTATTTTATCTTTTTGTCACTGATTTCCGATTCAGCTGTGTAGTGGTCTGAGTGACCTGAGCTCTTGGAAACTTGCTTTGTAGTCCCATCGCCAGTCTTCACCAGTGTTCCTTGTGTCCTGGAGGCCCGGTAGGTGGCTGTGCTCACTGTGTCGGGCTTGTTGTGCTGTGGGAAACTGTGTCCTTCCCGAGGCCCAGTGCTGAGTGGCGCTTGTCTCATTGTCCTCCTGTTCTGACAGTGTTTGCGTGGTTTCGTTAGGCACAGCACGTTTGAGAAGTTTTATCTTCCTGATGTACGTCTACTAATTCTTTTTACCTTAAAGTCTGTCAGAACAGCTTAGAGAACATCTGCACTGGCTTCTTTTTGGTTAGTGTTTACCTCATCATTTGCCATTCTTTGATTTTTATTTTCAACCTTTTCATATCTCCATAATTTAGATGTGTCTTCTTAGTATCATATCACTGGCATTTCAAGTTCATTTTTGATCCAGTGTGACAGTCTTTGCCACATTCCTATAGAATCTGATTCGTTTTCACTTTTCCATAATTATAGTTGTGTCTGCATGTTTTTCTTTTTCATTTGCCTGCCTTTCCCATGCCCTTATTCCTCGTGTCCTGAACGAGGATGTGCGTGCTCATTCTGGTTTTGCCTCCCAGTAGCTAGAAATTATACTCTCCATTCTCCTCCCTTGGTGGTTTCTCTTCTCCTGAGCAACCGAAGGGCCTCAGCATATTTTAATCTGGTCCCACCCCAACCTGTATGCTGTTTTCCCACTGGCCTGGTTATGTCCCAGATTAGACACGGTTACTGTTTCCCACGGTTATTGTGTATTCAGCTTTGTCCCCACCCCGTTGTTCCCCATCCTGTCTTCTGTCCCACACCTGCCTCTGGGTCCCTGTTCTTCTCCTTTACATGTTTCTATCTGTGCCGTGGCCCTGGTGGCAGCTGGGTGACACCGTGGACCCCTTCCCATGATGTTTCACAGAACAAAATGCAGAGGACCACAGAGAGGACAGCAGCCCCGGTGCGCGTTTGGAGTCCCACAGCACGTGGCATCCCTTAGCTGGGCGTGACTGCCACCACTCACCTGCTGTCCAGCCTGGAGAACCCCAGGCATTTCTGGATCTTGCTGCTCTGTGAGGATCCCTCAAATCATACACAGCAACACGTGACTGCATCCATGATGGGCCATGCAGGTGGGGTGAGCATGTGCCTCTCGTTCCAGGGGGTCGCTATGTCCCAGCCACGGAACACCGTCTGAGAGAAGCGGTCCTGGCCAAGTTCCTGTGCTGGTTGATGGGCACATACGTGGTTGAGCTGCTGAAGTCGTTTTTTTATGTCACGGAGACCACGTTTCAGAAGAACCAGCTCTTCTTTTTCCGGAAGAGCATCTGGAGCCATTTGCAAAGCATTGGGATCAGGTATCACAACCAGAGCCTCGTTGACCTGTTTCTTCCCATCTGCAGACACAGCCCTGGTTCCTGCTCCGGGTTCCCCGTGCCCCCACCTCGGGGCCCCCACCCAGCTACTCCAGGAGCCATCCTGGCCCACAGGGGTCTTTGCTGGCATGGACTCCTGGGCGCCTCCTTCCTTGCCTGTAGCTAGGTAATCTCTAGGGTCTCGAAAGTGGGAACAATGGTGCAAACAAACCACTTATCCCTGGCGTGTGGTCAGATTCTATTTTAATTTGCACAGAACAAGTGGGACTTGTGTCACAAGATAAACCTGCCTACTTGACAACTCACTGTGGGAAGTGTCTGGAGTCAGAGGTGTCTGCTGTCAGGCAGGACCCTGAGAGGGAAACTTCCAGAAGGTCGACTCACCTCTGAGTGGATCTGTCTTAGCTGCTCAGTGGCTGTTTCGGGTACATTGTGCAGGACTGTGACAGATGTGGGCCAGATTGGGATCCGTCAGGGTTAGGGGTGTGACAGCCCGACACATAAGCTTTCCTCCTCTCTGCGGCCAGCCTGGCCGAGGGCTTGGCGAGGACCAGATCAGAGCTCCCGGGCTCTGTGCACATTTGGGTCAAACTCAAGCCTGAACCACACATTTCTGAAGGGAGGCAGCAACTCCTGAACCAGGGCCCAGTCCCAGTCCTCCTGCACCTGGGAGAGGGTCTAGAAGCCCTCATCATGGGTCTGAAGAGATGCACAGTGCATCCTATTTAATAATTTAAAAGTTCATGACATATGATCCCAAGTGGTCACTCTTACCCTCACTGTGGGGACCATCATCTTGCCTGTTGGGCATTCAAGTGCCATCCAGCCTTTCTTCACTACCAGGCCCACGGCTCAGGGAGCATTCTTAACCTCTACCCCTCCCTGTAGGAGGTTTCAGGGGAGAGGCCAGCAGGGAGCTGGGGGTCCCTGGAGAGTCATTTCTGACTCTTGTGAAGTTGCACCAAGTAGCCGCCCCCTCACATTCCTTGAGACAAAAATGGGGTCTTTCTCCCAGGGGTCCCGTCCCGTCCCGTTCCAGCCGTACTAGCCGGGGTTCTGTAGCAGAGGGAATGGGCGTCCTGGGCCCCTGGCGCAGAGGGCGCTCGAGCAGCGTCTGGTCATTGTGTTGGTGCAGCCTCCTGGACACGGCACCTCTGCAGGTCGACCACCTGGGTTCTTGTGTGGCTGCTGAGCCCATCTCACGAGGTTCTGTTTCAGACAACACTTCGATCGGGTGCAGCTTCGTGAACTGTCGGTGGCCGAGGTCAAGCGATACCAGGAAGCCAGGCCTGCTCTGCTGATGTCCAGACTCCGCTTCCTCCCCAAGCCCAGCGGGCTGCGGCCAATCGTGAACATGGACTACGTCGTGGGAGCCAGAACGTTCCATGGGGACAAGAAGGTCACCACCTTTGTTTCATTTTTTAAGCAAATAGCATTAACCCCCAAGCCTGGTGTCCAGTAGACAGGCCGGAGGGCCCTGGGGTGCCATGGGTGGCCGTGCTCTGGGTGCGAGGAGGAGCTCGCAGGCAGGCCAGTCCTAGAAGCTGCTGCACAGGCTCCAACCCCACAAGCGTCTCATGACATGGACCCATGACATGTGGGACTGACCCAGTGCCCGTGGTCCTGCCGTGGCACTGGGGATGCACACTCTCCGAGATGCAGGGACGTAAGGAACCGGGCCATTTAGCCTTCGGGTATCTGGACCCTGTAGGACCCCACCCTGTGGTTAGCATCCCCTTCCACCTATGGCATCTCTGTGTCACCAGCAGTTTTGACCCCTTCCAAGTGCCTCCCTATAGCATTTGGGGCTGATTTTGTTGTTATTGGTGTCTCCTCCTCCCCCACAAGAAAGTGAAGCTGTTGGTGTGGATTAGGGATCTGGTGTGGTCTGTGAATGAAGATGATGAACTCCTCGTCTGTGGTGGGGGTGGGGGCCAGGTGGGAGGGATGGTCCTGTGTGTTGCTACTTGGTTTTTTATACCATGTTTCTAGGAATTCCAGGGTGAGTCCCTGGGGATGCCCTGGGTGTGGGTGGGTTGTCTATCTGGCCCTTCCACCTGAGGGAAGCTGGTAGTCAGGGGGGTGCAGAAGCAGAGCTGCCCCTCATCACTGGTCCCCAGAGGTGGGATGGGGCCATCGGGCCCCAGATCCCCTTGGCTGGGGACCTCCTGTGACCATGCCGCCATCCGGGACTGGCCCTGCAGGTGCAGCATCTCACCTCCAAAGTGAAGACGCTGTTCAGCGTGCTGAACTATGAGCGAGAGCAGCGCCCTGGCCTCCTGGGCGCCTCTGTGCTGGGCATGGACGACATCTATAGGGCCTGGCGTGCCTTTGTGCTGCGCATGCGGGCCCAGGACCCAGTGCCTCAGCTCTACTTTGTCAAGGTGGGTGTTCCCTCCCCCAGTGAGCCCACTCAGCACCCTCAGGTTCACCTGAGGTGAACTCTCACTGTGGGAAGTGTCTCTGCGGCCAGCCTGGCCGAGGGCTTGGGTGACTCTGCGTCCTGGGCCCTGGCCAGAGCCTGCAGTGTGGCTGGCTTTTTCAGGGCCTGTGTCTGCCAGGGTGAGGTCCCTGTGGTGGAGCTGCAGACTTGGGAGAGGGAGGGCAGGTGACCCAGGAGGGCAGATGCTCCATTTGGGAGCATCTGACTCCTGGGAGCAGAAGCTTTGAGCCTTCCTTGCTGGCATGGACTCTGCAGTTCTGCACCCCAACTCCATAGTGGCCCCTGCTCTTGGGGGGAATATGACAATGCACCTGGCTCAGCTCACAAAGCCGGGGTGCCCTAGCACCCCGATCATCTGCCAGAGACCTGCTGCTCATCAGCCTGCACTTAGAGAGGGACACGGGCCCACCCTAGGGTGTCACAGTCTGGGGTGTGGAGAGGGGGACACAGAGCCACCCTGGGGTGCTCAGTCTGGGGTGTGGAGAGGGGGACACAGAGCCGCCCTGGGGTGCTCAGTCTGAGGTGTGGAGAGGGGGACACAGAGCCACCCTTGGGTGCTCAGTCTGGGGTGTGGAGAGGGGGACACAGCCACCCTTGGGTGCTCAGTCTGGGGTATGGAGAGGGGGACACAGAGCCACCCTGGGGTGCTCAGTCTGAGGTGTGGAGAGGGGGACACAGAGCCACCCTGGGGTGCTCAGTCTGGGGTATGGAGAGGGGGACACAGGCCCACCCTGGGGTGTCGCAGTCTGAGGTGTGGAGAGGGGGACACAGAGCCGTCCTGGGGTGCTCAGTCTGGGGGATGTGGGGATGTCTCAGCGAGAGCTCCACAGTGGGGTGGTATGTGTGGCTGGGATAGGGCTCTGGGAAGGGTGCTCAGGGGCTCCTGGGTCCTGCCATGTCCTATCACCCCAGGGTTTTCTAAGGACAGGCTGGGGCCCCAGCTTGACAGAGTAGATGAGTGGGACCCAGGACACGGGACCACGGTGGGTGTGAGCAGCCTATAGCACACCTCTCTCCGTGCAGGTGGACGTGATGGGTGCGTACGATGCCCTCCCTCAGAACAGGCTGGTGGAGGTGATCGCCAACGTGATCCAGCCCCAAGAGCACACATACTGCCTGCGCCAGTACGCCATGGTCCAGAGAACTGCCCGCGGCCGCGTCCGGAAGTCCTTCAAAAGACACGTAAGACTGTGGGTGTGTGCCGTGAGGAGGTGTGTCCGTGACATGGATGTCTGCCCTGCAGTCCATCCCTCCCCCATGGGCCCTGAGCCCCACTTCCTGAGCTCCCATGCTGGGAGGTGCCTCCGTCCTGGTCATCCTCATGCTCTTGTTCATGTCACAGTCGGTCCTCTCTTCAAGCCACACCTGCCTGCTGTCCCTTCACAGGGCCCCAGGTTTGTGCCAGGAGGTGGCAGCACAGCCATGCGTGTGCTTCTTGGTATCCCCGTGGCTGCCGCCCGGGAGCCCAGGCCTGGCCTGTGGCTACTCAGTGGGGCCAAGTGCTTCATGTCTGGCGCTGTGCTGGCTCTGTGAGGAGAGGGCCAGAGGGCACCCCACCCAGGACACCTAGGCCTCGCTCACCGTTCTGCCTCCTAGGTGGGGCTGAGGGTCTGAGGGCTCCCTCCCTGCAGCGGCCAGTGGCCTGAGGCCTCAGTGGTGCAGGGAAAGGACACCTGGAGTTCAGGTTGCACTTGAGGCAACCTGATCCAGCCCCAATGCATATGGGGGTTTCCAAGCAATTGTCATGAGCATGTTGGAGTGTGAGGGCACCCAACCCCCTAAACCTGTGCCGTGGAGAAGGCAGGAGCGTGCAGAAAAAGTTCCCCCAGACATTCTTGGGAAAGGCATACCTGAAACCCCTGGGCAAGTCAGGTGAGTGTGGGCTGCAGATCCAGAGTGTACAACACAGTGAGATTGTACATTTGTGGACAGATGGTGCCACCACCTGCATCAAAGGATAGAAAGTCACCAACAGCCATGAGGCTCCCGCTTCCTCCCCAGGTGCCTGTCGCTCTGACCTCCCTCATGCAGACTCTCTTACCTGTCTCAAATTCCGTGAACGTGAATCAGACGGTCGCCCTTCCTGTCTGGTTCCCATTGCTCCCCAGTGTGTCTGAGAAGCAGCTGGGCCCCTGGGAACAGCTGCCATTCACCTCACCCGGGGCGTGTTCCTGTGCCCACACTGCTCTCCGCTGCTGGTGGGCCTTTGCTGGTTCCGGGCTGGGAGGTTTGAACGCTGCTGAGAGCATTACTGCGATCTGTCATTTGGTGGATTCGGGTGGAGATGCCAGGCCACAGAAATGCCTTGTTTAGTCTTAGATATCACCAAAAAGTGTTCCTAAGTGGCCTGTGGCAGAGTGGCCATGAAGCACTGCGGCCACAGGCCAGGCCTGGGCTCTGGGGGGCAGCCACGGGGGCACCAAATATGGGAGGGCCAGGCGTGCTCATGCTCACACACTTGCAAGTGTCAGCACTCGGGAGGTAGCCCGGATTCCCTGAGGGCGGGCACAGTGTCGTGTATGGTCTTGACTTGCTTTCCCAGTGACCTTTCTATCCACCCTGCACGTGGACATTTCTCGCGCGAATGCCTGTTCAAGTCCTCTCCTTGCTCTCTGACGGGCTGTCTACCGTTGTGGATGTATCGGTGAAATTTGTATGTTCTGGGTACGAGTCCTCTGCCAGGTGTCTGCCTTGGTTTGTCTCGCCTTTTTAGTTGCAAGGGGAGTCTTGATGACGAGAAATTGTTGATTTTAAAGAAATCTTTATCCATCGTTTATGGCTGAAACTGTGTTCTGTTTTGGAAACCTGTCCCTTCTTATACACGTTTTCCTTCAAGGTGCTTATTGTTTCAGCTTTCTCACTCAGGTGTTGGGTCCATTTTGAATTAATTTTTGTATTTGGTATTTTTAAACCGCTCCGTTTCTGCTTAAATCCAGATTTCTCGTGAACCTGCTTCCAGTTCACGAACCTTCTCTTTTTCTGTCTCTAATCTTTGGCTAAACCCGCTTACTGAATTCTTAAGTCCAGCTATCCTATTTTTCAGTTTTAGAATCCCATGTGAATTTTCTCATACACTCCAAGTCTCTGGTAAAGTTCCCCGTCTTCTCCCCTATTTTATTGACTCTGTCATCTTTACTGACTTTTAAATTCCATAACTCAGTAGCCACCCTGCCCATGATGGGTTCTGATGGATCTGTTTCTGCTGTTTCACTTGTGGTTTGGTCACCCAGGCCTGTTCTTCGGCACGCCTCACTATTTTTTTCTTGAGATGCCAGACTTTTAAGTTAAAAAATTTAAAACGTGGGTTTTTACACAATGTTTTTCTTTGGGGAGGATAATGTTTTCCTGAAAGTTGGAGTAGTGAATGACCCTAACCCTGCAAGGGTCGTCTTTACACTGGGCCGGTCTCCTTCCCTTTGCTCCTTCCCTGGCTGTGGCCCTCTGCCGTCTCACCTGAGGGCAGGTGTGCAGCCCTTGGTGGGCCCGGGCTCCCCTCAGCCCCCTCCACCCCAGGTGGCTGCTATGACCACACTCAGCTCCAGCTTCTGCCCGGTTTCCTGCAGTCTCCCCGGAGCGCCTGACGCTGGGGGTTGGTGAGGATTGGAGAAGAAATCACTCACAGTTTTGACTCCTTTGTCTGCAGTCCCCTCCTCCCAGCACCTGACCCTCAACCCCAGTTGCTTTGATGGCCCTGAACCCTAAGTGTCTTCAGTCATAGCCCCCACTTTTTGCTTAAGCTCCCTCTCCTTGAATTAGGCCTCAGAGAGATTGTGGGATGCACCCAGGACTGGGACTCTAAGTCCACCTGCTTCCTGCCTCTCCAGCACCCCCACGAAACTTCCTTCTGCATTCTGCCGGGCACAGTAGTCAGGGGGAGGTGCCTGGAGGTGATGTCCCTGTGATTTTGTAGCACTCTCCTCTCCCCGCATCTCCGTCCTCCTCTTCCTGAACACAGGCTGCACGGCGGGGCCTCCCTGGGTTGCTCCCACTCCCGACTTAGCCTTCCATGATGTGACTTCTGCTTGTCGATGTCGAGGCCAGGGCTCGGGAGGGAGGCGCCCACCTGCCTCACGCCTGTCCTCTTCACCAGCAGGTGTCCACCTTCACGGACCTCCAGCCTTACATGAAACAGTTTGTGCAGCAGCTGCAGAAGACGAGCTCGCTGAGGGACGCCGTGGTCATCGAGCAGGTTGGTGTGGGCAGACGGCAAGGCCACCCTCAGCCAGCAGACACTTGCTGTGCCTTCAGCCGCATTTCTTTTTGCACCTCACTGAATTCTGTGTTACTGTCCAGCTGCTTTAAGATTCGCTAGGGATGTCTTCTCCCTCCGTTTTGATCTTGAGGCCAGAAGAAAACATGCCCCTGTGCTATGGGAAGACACATTAGATTTGACCCCTCAGGTGGGAAACCCAGGTTTCTTGTGCCTGCGCAGGGACTGTTCCTGAGTTTGTGGCTTTCTGCAGAACCGCTTTCGGTTGAGTCGGTCCTCCAAGCATGGCTCTGAGCCCCCTGGATGGGTGCCTTTCCTGTGGCCACAGGGCCCCACCACGTCCACAGAGTCAGTGTGTGGCACAGCCGTCTGGGCCAGTGGCCCTGGGTCTGAGCCCCGCCAGAGCCACGGATGACCCATGCTTTTCCTGCTCGTCCGCTACCGCCCACCCCTTGTCCCCCCTGTACGTCTCCGGCTAGCATGTCTGCTCACCCACATGCGTCTCCCACTTGCTTTTCCAGAGCTGCTCCCTGAATGAGGCCAGCAGCGACCTGTTCGATGTCTTCCTGCACCTGGTGTACAATCACATCGTAAGGATCGGGGGCAAGTGAGTCAGGGCCACCTGCTGCACGTTGGTTGAGGGCCGTGCCCGACGTGGACGGCCCATGGCAGGGCTTTGCGGGCGGGTGTGTGATCGGTGTTCCCTGTGTGTGTGGTGTACGCATGTTTATGTGCTCCGAGCAGCGTGTCTGCACGTGCATGTGGTCTGCACGCGTGTCTGTGATATGAACACGTGCCCCACCTGTCTGCCCACATCTCCCCCCAGGTTTTACATCCAGTGTCAGGGGATCCCCCAGGGCTCCATCCTGTCCACCTTGCTGTGCAGCCTGTGCTACGGAGACATGGAGAGCAGGGTGTTCCCTGGACTCCAGCAGGACGGGTAACAGGTTCCTTGTCATTGGTGCCCTTGGTTGCTTTCGCCCCCTCCCATGCTCTGGTGCTGCCCTTTCTTCACGGGAGGTTTCACAGGAGGTAGCGAACAGGCCTCCGACGTAGGCTGTGAGCGGCTCCCAGTGCACCAGGGAACACGGCGTTTCCAGAGAGCCCGGCTGGTGGCGGTGCTGGCGTGATCGCGGGGCCCCTGCCCCCTGTCCCCAGCTAGTACCGAGTCGCACGGATTACTTTGTTTTCGTGCATATGAACTCGTATTTAATGTCCTTCCTCGTGCCTCTTTTCCTACCAGGGTGCTCCTGCGTTTAGTGGACGACTTCTTGCTGGTCACCCCTCACCTGACACAAGCGAAGGCCTTTCTCAGGTAAGGACCTGCACACACGTGTGTATCTCGGCAGGTGCCTCTGTGGCCTCATGCTGCTGACCTTGCTCGTATCAGAAGTAATTCTCACCTTGTGCCCAAGCTTCCCACAGCGTCCCAGCATCTCTGCAGGGGGCATGTGGCACAGTTGTGCTGTTCTGAGACCCCAGGCATACAGCGTAGAAGCCTGGAGCTGACAGCATGGCACCAGGACAAATGTCTCCCCAGAGGGGGGAGCAAGTGTGGGTCAGACGCCTGGGCTGGGCTCCTTGGAATGTATACACACACAGTACTCTGGGCAGCGGAGAGAGCCGTGGCACACCTCTGGGAGGCTGTGCCCAGGAGGTGCCCATGAAGGAGTAACAGGAGCCGGCCCTGCGTGCTTGTCTGCAGCTTCTAGTGTGGCGTCTCTTTCATAGTGGTTGGCATTAGGAGAGAACAGAGGGGGGTCTTGTTAAGTGACAGTATTATAAGGCACGGGGATCGCATGAGGTGTTGGTCATAAGTTCATTTTGTTCAAAATAAAATTCCACAGACAGGGAACCTTGCCTTGGCATGCTGCCTGCAGTATACCATCCCTTCCAGGACCCCGGGAACCTGGGGCTTGTTTCACAGGGCAGTTTCCCAGGAACGAGAGAAGGATAAAACCAAACTCATAGAATGTCACTGCCTGAGGGGCAGTGTGCTTTGGTTGCAGGGTTGTCTTTGGAGAACCCGTCAGGACGGCATCCCGATACCCCACGTCTGCCCCGGGGGATCCTCTGGACTCGGAGGATGGGCAGTACTGCTGGGGCACGCCGGGCCTCACGGCCGCACACAGTAGCCCACACAGGATGGCGTGAAAATGTAAATTCATCCAAGTTCAATCATGACCAATCCAGGACCCCGGGCACCAGCCACCTTCAAAGACATCAGTAACCACACGTGGCCAGGGGCTGCCAGAGGGCACGGCACAGGCAGGGAGCGTGGCCTCCACTGTGGAATATCCGGGGGGACACCGCTGCTCTGAGGGCGGGCAGGGAGGTGGCTCAGAACGTGTATGCTGAGGTCCACTGGGAGCTGGACTCCTGGGGACATATACAGAGTTATTGCAAGGAGTAGGTTCATGTGATAGTGGGGGCTGGCGAGGCGAGTCTGCAGTTCACAGGGCAGCAGCAAGAAGGGCAGGAGCCCAAGCCACCACCCACGGGAGGACTCTCCCTTCTCAGGACACCCTGCTTCTGCTCTTTTTTTTTCTTTTATTGAATAAGATATTACAAATGTGTCCTTATCCCCCCAATGTCCCCTCATCCCCCCAATCCTGCCCTCACCCTCACCCCCTGTTGTCCACATCTATCACTTATGCTTATATGCATGCATACAAGTCCTTTGGTTGATCTTTTCCCCTCACCCCCACCCTCCCCTGCCTTCCCTCTGAGTTTTGAGCATCTAATCGATGCTTCTCTGTTTTTGTTCATCAGTTTATGTTGTTCATTATAATCCACAAATGAGTGAGAGCATGTGATATTTATCTTTCTCTGACTGACTTATTTCACTTCCTGCTTCTGCTCTTGGGCCCTTCTGATGGGTGTGCCCACCCTACTATGGAAGGTAACCACCTTTAAGCTGTCTGAATGCAGATGTTGACCTCACCTACAAAGACCCAAGCACACGTTGGGACTGTGGTCTCTGAGTGGACACAGCTTGCCATTGCAGAGAGGACCTGTGTCCTTCATGAGCCCTGCCTACCCTCCCATCTGGCCGGTCTCAGTTCTCAACCTGGAGCCTGAGCTCTTTGCTCACCTGTCTTACCTGTGAACAGGGTCATGTGGCATCTACTTGGCCTTCAGGACTCAGCCTTGTGTTTCCCTCCCCGGCTGCCGGCCTCTGCCCTCCTGGCATCCACCTTTTCTTTGATCGTTGGCACTGGTCATCCAGAGCCTTTGGAAACCAGCACCTGGAGGCCCACAGGGTCGGTGTGGCCTCCCTCCAGTGCCAGCCCTTGCTCCCCGCTGCCTCTTGGGGTTTTACATAGCATTGAGTGAGTGTGTCCGAGACCCTGAGTGGCATCCCTCTCCCGTGGCTGAAGTGGCCTGTGTGTTTCAGGACCCTGTCCAGGGGAGTGCCCGAATACGGCTGCAAGGCGAACTTGCGGAAGACAGTAGTGAACTTCCCCCTGGAAGACGATGCCCTGGGCAGCACGGCACCCCTGCAGCTGCCAGCCCACTGCCTGTTCCCCTGGTGTGGCTTGCTGCTGGACACGCAGACCCTGGAGGTGTTCTGTGACTACTCCAGGTAAGTGCGCCTAGACAGGTATACGTGGGCCAGTCTAGCCCTGTCCCTGTTCTGTGTACAACATATGGCTACAGTCCCAAAAGGTCAGAGGCCTCGGTGCTATCTCCCCCTCCAGAGCAGGAGCATGTTATTCTTGTGTGGGTCAGGGGACTGGCCAGGTGAGCAGTTTTCTGGAGTAGTTTTGGTAAAAGGAAATTGTGCGGCAGACTTGGGGACCCCAGCATGTAGGGAAGCAGAACAGATCTGAGCCCAGAGGTTTCGGTCCTGCTGGACACGAGGCTCTTTGCAGTGAGGGCACACACTGCAATGCCCGTCCTCAGCCTCCCTGGATGTCATGTGTTGCAGTTATGCCCAGACCTCGATCAGAGCCAGTCTCGCCTTCAGCCAGGGCTCCAAGCCTGGGAGGAGCATGCGTCGAAAGCTCTTTGCGGTGTTAAGGCTGAAATGTCACAGTCTGCTTCTGGATCTGCAGGTGAGCATGCCGCCAGCAGGAGAGCCACACAGCCAGCTGACTTCAGAGCTCAGAAGACCTGCTGCTCAGTTTACCTGTGGGAGTTGTTTTATAGGTCCTATTGTGTATTGTGTGTCTAAGTATGCAGATGTGTGTATAAGTGTGTGGATGTGCATGCATGTGTGAGTGAGCATGCATGGGTGTGCGTGCATATGGGTATATGTTCACATGTGTGCATGCATGGGTGTGCATGTGTGAGTGTATTCAAATGGATGTATATACATGCATGTGAGTGTGCATATATGCCCCTGTGTGTATTGAGGGTCCTTTTCCTTATCCCTCCTCCACTCCCATCTTCCTCAGCCCTGGAGCTCCTCCTTGCAGAGTGTGGGACTCTGAGGCCTCAGCTGGCTCGGGCTTTAGAGCCTCAGGGCCAGGATGTCATTCCGGCAGGTCTGGATGCTCATCTCCTTGTCCCTTTCTGCCTGGTTCCCTTGGACAGCCCCAGCAGAGTCCTGACTCCACCACAGGCTGTGAGAGGCCACCAATGAGGACACAATGGTCCTTTTTTTTTTTTTTACTCCTTTTGAGCTGGTGATAAAGCAAAAGATAAAAATTTAAACTTCAGGTGCATTTCCAACATCTCCTTTCCTTGTGGCTCCAGGTGAATGGTCTTCAGACGGTTTGCACAAACGTTTACAAGATATTCCTGCTGCAGGCCTACAGGTGGGCTCACTGGATGCACCACCACGGGGACGGGGTGCTGTCTGGGTCCCCCTTTCCCGACCATGGGGACAGCATGCACTCCCCGGCTCCCAGGCCTTCATGCTGAAACCTTCCGTTTATGAGAGCATTTTCAGCGGCAGAGGCTGCCTCTCTGTGTGGTTCATAGAGGATCTGCTTTGTTTGAGGTCCTGTTCCCTTCACCAGGTGGTGACAGGGGGCGGCATGGCCTGGGGTGTCCCTGTCTCCCTATGGGCTAACCCATCCTGCTGTGGGGGGAGGGGAGGTCGGAGGAGGAGAGCTGCAGGGTGTGAGGAAAGCGGCTCATATGTGGTCATGGGAGGCAGATGCCCTACTGGGAGAATCCCAGAGAGCAGAGGATCCAGGCAGTGCAGGTGACCGCCACCAACACTCCCGTGCTCCCCAGAGGGGACTCTGGTGTGCAGCTCCCAATCAGCCCAGCCACCACTCCTGGCACACATTGGTATGTGCTGAGGCCCAGCTTTGCTTCCAGAACATTCCCTGGTTTCGCGGCCACCTGCTGAGAACTGGGGCAGAACACTGGGGCCACTCACTGGTCGTCCTGAGTCTTTGCTGGGAAACCAGTTCCACTGTCAAGTTGTGCTGGTCCCTCCAGAAGATGGACATTAACCCGGCTACCTGCCACCAAGCAGCTCACAGGGAAAGCATTCTGCCCGAAGTCAGGGCCAGTGGCTGTAAGCCGTGGGGTGGATGAGGGGTCCGCTTCCCGAGTGCTGGGAAGCCAGGCAGCTATGTTTTGAGCCCCTGAGTTTGTGTTACCCAAGGCTGTGCCCATGTGAGACAAGGTCGTCTCGTAGGAACTGGATGGGCTCTTGGAGGAAATGCCTGTTAAATGTCAACAAGAAACCCCTTCGGCCCCAGGGGCCCATGCCCTGTGCTTTGGCCAGGAGGGCCATGTATGCGCTTTGGTTGTTCTCTTGGTGTCTGGGAGGCATGGAGCCCGTGGGCTCAGTCCAGGGACCACAGTGCTCAGGCCGTCGCCTCCTGCTTTTCATGTGTTTCCTCCTTCACCTGCATCTTCTCCCGTGCACTCCTGCTCCGTGTGCGAGCTGGTACACTCCTGCTCCGTGTGCGAGCTGGTGCACTCCTGCTCCGTGTGCGAGCTGGTGCACGCCTGCTCCGTGTGCAAGCTGCCGTGGCTCCTCTGCAGATGTGTTCAGTATAAACAGGAACGTGCCCTCGGGCCTTTCACAGCCAACAACAAGGCGGGTGTACACCCTCTCACTTCTCGGGGCCTCAGGGCTGAAGAGCAGTCAGGTGACGCTTCCAGGTCAGCGGGAGGCCAGCCCCTGACCAGCCCCAGTCCTTGGAGGCCACCTTGCCTGCTGAAGGTCTTGCTCTGGTGTTCAGCCCAGCCTCACCCTTGTGTCCCCTCGCTCTGTGGGGCCCTGGCCTCAGACGCCTGCCTGCCGGGGAATGGTGTAGTGACCTGGGTACAGAGCGGGCACCTGGGGCAGCTCCATGCTCCTCATTCAGGGAGTGCAGTCCCAAAACAACAGTGGGTGCCGAGGTGCCTTCTCCACCGCATGAGAGTTAGCTGCTTCCCAATGTGGAAGGTTAGGCATGCAGGGCTGCCCGTGCCTCCCCTGCAGGAGGGGGTACGTAAAGCTGGACCGTGAAGGCCATAGCAGCCAGGGCTGCGGCATGGAGCCCAGGGAATGTCCTGGCACTCGGAGCAGGACACTCATCTGACGGTCTGAGGACCTGCCGGGCTCAGCCTTTTTGGACAAGCGTGGGCTTCAGGTTGGAGTCTTTCGCAGGCATGATATTCACTAGTGGAGGCCTCTCCCTGCCCTGCATTGAGCACCACCCCTCCTTTGGGATAGGGTCCTCCAACTGCAGAATACGGTCCCCTTCCAGGCCAGGGGCGCGGCCCCAACCCAGTTTCCAGGCCTGGCTTCCCCCTCCCATGAGTGGGGAAGATACCTCCACCTCAACAGAGTGAGCGTGAGGGAGCGGTCAGACTGCCGGCTGATGGACACACATGCATGTTGTTTGGAAGGGGCCCAGGGAATGTGCACACCGGCCCCTGTAGACATACACACCTGCTCGTGCACATGTTGCAGCCGCAGGACTTTCCTCTGATAAACCTGACCTTCCTCAGGTTCCACGCCTGTGTGCTCCAGCTCCCGTTTAATCAGCACGTTCGGAAGAACCCCTCGTTTTTCCTCCACGTCATCTCTGACACCGTGTCACGCTGCCACACCCTTCTGAAAGCCAAGAATCCAGGTGCGTGCAAGCGACCAGGACTGGGGTGGCCTGTGGTGCTGGCAAATGCCAGGTGCTCACCGCACGATTCCAGCACAGAGCTGCCTGTGCTCCATGAGCGCTGTGGCTGGAACAGCTCCGGCCCTGGTGTAGCGGAGGCAGGATTCAGGGAATTGGGCTCTCGACACTTCCCGGCCGGTTTAACTTGCTGAGCACTAGCTGACCTCTCAGCCACCCTCTCTGCGTGGGCAGACATCTGTCCTGATTGGAACGCAAGGGGACATTTGGGAGCTGCCTTCTCCCGGGCAGGGCTTCCTCTCTGGTGCTCAGGGGGAGCTTGCACAAATCCAGGCAGTAGTCAGGAGGAGGCTGGGCCCCAAGTCCCCTGCCTGTCTTGGGGGAGGGGGGGAGGGACACCCACACCATCCACTTCGCCCCGTCTCTGCTCCGCAGCCTCGTCATGCAGTCATAATCAGCCTCAGTTCAGGTCGTGCTGTGTCTTTGTGGTCCTGAGCTTGACCGACTTGACTTTCTGTTTATTTCTGTTTTGAGGAGGTTTCTTTGAAGAAATTGAAAACATTTCAGTTGTCAGAATTGGGTGTACCCTGTTGTTGGGTGGCCCCTGAAACAAAGTCCCTGTTTGGAGCCCGCTCCTGCACTCAGCCCGGCAGGGACCTCTGGTGTCCACGGGAGCACAGGTGGGAGGAGCACACGCCTCTCCTGGGAGGAGCACATGGCCTCTCCTGGGAGGAGCACACGCCTCTCCTGGGAGGAGCACATGGCCTCCTGGGAGGAGCACTGGGAAACGGGCCAGTGAGGGTGTCAGCCTGCATGTGTTGTTCCCAGGGATGCCTCTGGGGACCAAGGGCGCTGCAGGCCCTTTTCCTTCTGAAGCCGCAAGGTGGCTGTGCTTTCACGCCTTCCTGCTGAAGCTGTCTCGCCACAGCGCCACCTACAGGTGTCTCCTGGGAGCACTCCAGACTGGTAAGCTTGGGCAGAGTGCCCGCCCCAAGGCACCCCCTGTGCAGGTGCAGGGCCTGTCCTTGTCCTTGAGTGAGCAGTTGTCTGCCCCTCTGTGTCTGAGTAACAGGGGTGGTGGGAATAGGAGTGGACAGGTGGCTCGAGGGTCCTGCCTCCCTCACCTGGGGGGCCTGGCATGCTCCCTCAGTCGCTCCACCTCTCCCCCCTCCCACTCAAGGACGACATTTCCTGCGGGAACTGCGTCTCCCTCTCCTCCAGCTCCGCTGGTCTGAGTGCCCTTCCTCCCACCCCTGGTCTGTGTCCTGGCTGCACTCCCTTTCCTTCGTGCTCTGACACCCTTACTGGTCCCTGTCTGTTCCTCGGCCATGCACCTGGAGCCCGACCTGCACACAGTGGGCACTCAGGACTCAGCCGTCTCTTCCTGCCCCTCAGTGGGTCCAGGAGGCTGAGGTGAACATTCTCTGCTTCCTTCTGGGAAGAGGGCTGATCTCAATCATCTTGCAGCCCAAGCGCAGCTGTGCCGGCAGCTCCCGAGGGCGACGCTGGCCACCCTGGAAGCTGCAGCTGACCCAGCCCTGACCACAGACTTCAGGACCATCTTGGACTGATGTCCAGTCAGCTTCTCACAGGCCCTCAAGCTCATTCCCAGCTGGGTCCACCTGTGCCCGAGACCCCGACCTGTGCTGCTGGCTGGGCTGCTCCCTGGAGGGGGTTGCCCCCAAGTCATCGAGGAAGCAGAGCCCACCCAGCCCCACCCCCACCACCCCTTTCTAGTGACAGGTTTGTCCTTCATCTGCCCACTGCCAGGAGGAGGCAGGTACGAGAGCCTGGTTGGGGCGTTGGCATCTGGAAGGGAAGCATCAGGGACCTTTGTCAACCTCCTTGCTGCGGGGTCACCCTGGTCTGCAGTGATGGCTCACGTGTGGTGGGTGTGTGTGACCTCCTTCCTGCTGATCGGCTGTGACTCAAGCCCTCCACACCCACTGGAGCAGCATTCCCCCAGCTGGCCCCCCAGCTGCATCCAAAGTCCATGTCTCGACGAACTTGCCCAGAAGCAAAGGGCCCAGTCAGCTGTTTGAGCCCGTTCCCCACCATCCACACCCATGCTTCTGACCTGCGTGTCCCCATGCCCTGCCCAGGCCTCCTGGAGCCAAGCATACAGCACCCCCCCACCCGCTTGCCACTTCCACTTCCAGAGTCTTCTGCTGGCCCCACTCAGCACACAGCCCCGTGTGGCCCCTCCTGCACTACCTCCTGCCCCCACCCCAGGGATGGGGTGAGAGAAGAGCCTTTGTATATTTTCTTGATTTTTAAATATTTCTCTCATGTTTGTATTAAAATATGCGCCACATAAGTACTGTTATATATATAAACATGAGTATTGAGTTGATGTGCATGAGCCCTTGGTTTGGCGGGGCCTGGGGGGGTCCTCCTAGGGTTGAGATGTGGGAGGGAGGGAGGGAGGAGGTGGTAGATGGGAAGGGCGCTCCCACAGGGCGGGTGCAGCATGCCAGTGGGCGGGAAGGCCCCAGCCCAGCACCCTCCCCTGCCTACCCTGACTGCACTGGCTCAGCTTGGAGGTGACCTGGGAGCTCTCAAGACAGCAGATTTCAATCTGAGCTCTGGGTTTTGGTGCTGGAACCACACATACTTGGGGTCCTGTCCCCCAGGTTTATAGTTCAGGTCTGGGCTGGGACCTGAGAATTTGCACTTTTAACAAGTTCCTGATACTGCTGGCTGGTGGGGTGGGGGCCCCACACAGAACTGCTTCTGGGGGTACCGGGGGGTTTGGGGACTGGTCCGGGGGCTCTTCTGTGCAGTGGCCAGGAGAGCAGACAGCTGCTTGCTTGGTCCATAGTCAGGAGTTGGAGGACTGTGGAGGGTGAGGTTATGGGGACGGGTGAGTGGCATCCTGGAGGAGCTTGTATGGGAGTGGGCAGTCTGGGGCCTTGGTGATGGGGAGAAGGGGCCATCCTCACAGCCTCACCAGAGCCTCCATACCCACCACGTCCCTGATCCGAGCCCCACCTCTGGGTCCACCCTGTCCTCCGGTCCCTGTGAGGCGCCCCAGTGAGAGAAGGGCTTGTCCGCAGAGTGGCAGGTGTCATCAGGAAAAGGAGCCGGAGTTAGGTCCTCCTCTTTGTGGAAATGACCCCTCGAGTGGGAGACCCACAGCATGCCTGTCTGGACCTCTGTGGGGGGCACGCTGTGCACCAGTGGGCTATGCAGGGCCTTGTACCGACAGCTGGAAGGATTGCACAAAGAACAACAGGGAGGGGTGGCAGCTCAAAGGAGGTGTCATCGGAAAAAGCAGCCCCCACCAGGGGAGTTGGCGGTAGGGTGGAGTGGTGAGCAATTTGGAGGCTTCCTTCCGGGTGTCCCTAATGGGACCACAAAACGTGACAGGCGCCATTGAGTGTACCTGGGAGGGGTTGCGTGTGTGCTGCGGTTGAAGTTTATGGATATTGCCTTGTTTACTGCTACTGCGGCGAGCATTCAAGTAACTATGCATTTATGGCTGACCCAAGTCCACCACGGGCATCGTAAATGCCCGGGAGAAATGAGCAGTGAGAGGCTCAGCCCCACCCTGGGCACCAGCCTGCAGTGCCCTCACTATCGCAAACTCGGGAGGACAGCTCAGGGTGGAGGACACTCGGGGCAGGTAGGACAGGGCCCAACCGGGCCCCGCAGGCACCTGAGACAGCAGATTTCAACCTGAGCTCTGGGTTCCTTGGCGCCTGAACTACACATAGTTGGGGTGCTGTCCCCCCAAGTTTATAGTTCAGCAAGTCTGGGGTGGGACAGGCACCTGAGCTAATCCTCGCTGGCTACCCCAGGCTCATGGCACCCTGGGCATTTCGGGCATTTCCATAGAAGACTGGGCCCAGGAGGTCAGCTCTGGCTCCATTATCCGTCTCCTAGAAGCTGTAGAATCTTGTTCTCTAGGAAATACGTCCTGTGGCAGCTTTACTCAGTCACGTGCACCTTTACCCAAGTGTTAAGCCCTTGAGAAGGGCGCACGCGGTGGTCAGGATTCACTCGCTGAGAATTTCTGATTTATCTCTTTTCTCAAAACCGCTGTGCAGTCTGTCAAACTCAGGGTGAAGTGTGAAAACAATAAACTTTTTAAAAGAAGGATTGCTGGTCTTCCCTAGAACTAAACCGCATGAACAGGAGCCCGTTTGTGCCTGCATCCCACAGATGTGTGTGGAGCAAGTGGAGTGAAGCTGTGAAAAGGAGCAACCAGGATGCAAGAGTGAAAGCAGATGATGCTCCAGGACCCCCCCAGGGCTCAGTGGTTATACCCCAGTCCCATGACCCTGCCCCTCCCTTGCCCGTGTGCATGCCTGGCTGTGAAGGACACTACAGAGCGAAGGGGTCCCAAACCTGGGTGGGCTCAGAACGCCCCGGCGCTGTGAGGGGCAGAATAATGACCCCCAATGTGGCCCACGCCCTAATCCCGAAACCTGCAGGGATATTAGGTAACTAATCATAGGACTGAAATGGGAAATGATTCTGGATTATCTAGGAGAACCAATGTGATCACAGAGTCCCTAAAAGGCTGAGACAGTGTCAGAGAGATGCCACCGGAGAAAGACTCTGGCCATGACTGGCTTTTCGACAGAGGAAGGGGCAAGGGTCAGGACTCGCCCAACTGTGGGGCTTACCACACACTTTGGGGTACCCTTGAATTCAGTCTATTTTCACACCCAGCTGCCCTTGGGCATCAGTCCTTCATGTTCTGTTTGCCCGGTCTGGGCTGGCTGTGGGCACAGATGGCTCCCAACAGAGGCCTGGCCTGGGCTGTGTATAACCTGCCGTAACACTTGCTGTCTGGGGCTTTTCAGCACCCTGGACAGTGTTAGCCCAACTGGGGATTGGTTCAAAAGGCGCTTAGGCGTGAGCGGGGTCCTCATGGGGGCTGTTCCCAGCAGCATGTAGCCAAGGACATGATGGTCTCGGGTGGCAGGTCAGAAACAAGCCTGTGTGTCAGGGCTCAGCTCCTGGACCTGACACCTGGCTCCGTACCGGTGGAGAGGAAAGAGGGAGGGAGGGCGGGCGGGCGGGCAGGTGAGGAGCTGGGCAAGAGGCACTGTGCTGAGGGCTCTAGTGCAGGCAGGTCCTGGCTGTGGGCTGCAGGAGGGCTTGGTGCCTGGCGCCACCAGCACTGGCACCGGCACAGAGGAGTGACGGGGAGCGAGGGGAGCAACTGGGAGTGATGTTGCCTGCCCTGGAGACAGTGGGAACCTGAATGATAATCAGCCTTTCTGTACCTTCTTGACACACATTTTAGTCTGAGAAAGTTTTAAAAGGACTAAAGGCAGTGTTTCTGATAAAACCTCAGGAGCAGCCAGGCAGCCCCAGCTCCCTGGCAGGGCTCACTTCTCCCTCGAGGAGGATCCGTCCTTGGGTCCTGGGGAGGCCATGGGTTCCCTGGGACGATTCTCCATATCAGGCTGCCCACCTCGCCTGAGACAAACCCGTGTCCTGCTGCCTGCATGGTTCCCTTCGCCTGCATGGCCATGGCAGACGGTCCCCATGACCTGAGTGCGCTAGGTGCAGGGGCTGCTGCAGGCAGGGACTCATTCACTTCGCCTTGGAGATCAGCCTGAAATTCCCACCACCCACGTGGCGCAAGACCAGTGCAAAGGTTGTGGATGTGGCTTCCTCAGGACACCCTCCTCTGGCCTGCTTGGCAGCAGGGCCTCCCTGCCACTTTGCCCATGGATCTGCCAGGTGCATCCTATGGTCACCCAGACAGTGCTGCGCAGGACCCCAGCCCGCAGGGCCCCAGGCACCAGGTGCCGGGCTTTCTCCCATATGGCGAACAGCATGGACGGTAATGTCTAAGCTGGGCTGCGTGCTGAGAGGGTCAGAGGCGTGAGAGTGTCTGGAAGCAATAACCACAGGTCTCGGGGTCGGTGAGTATAATGGGTCGGGTGATCTGTGAGTGAGGGCGTACAGTCCAGGACCTCCCGCCCTCAGCGGACCTCGCTGTCGGAGACCTTGCTGTCCTGCAGCTTTAGGCACATGTTCTGCTGCACATTCTCCTGCTTCCGCCTGCGCCAGATGGGCAGCTGGGCCATCGCAACTCCCGGGACCAACAGTGCGGGCAAGAAGGACAGGAGCCCACAGATGGCCTGCACCCAGCCCGGGTAGGACTTCTCCTGCCGCGAGGGGAACTGCTTCTGCAGAGACACAAGGCCACAGGGTGAGTGTCCAAGGGAGGGGGCAGCGTCCCCCCCGACCCACCACCGGGGCAGAGCGAGGCTGACCCGCAGCCAAGTGAATGTGGTGGGTGGGCAGCTTCCCCCAATCTCTTCCTGAAATGAAGCAGCAGGTTAGTTCATTCCAGGTGGATGAATGGAAAAGACACGGGGCCAGGGGCTGCTCCCTGAGCAGTGAGGGCACAGGGGGATGAAGGCTTAGGACAGGACGTGGGCCGAGCCTCCTGTGGGGGCTGGTCTCTGAGAGACAGGCCACGAACCTAAGGGGCTGTGTTCTAAAAAGAGCCACCCTGTGCACCTGAGGGAACCCACCATCACGAGGTTGCCTCGGCCTGACCCATGGGGCATCATTAGGCCCTGGGACCCCCTCTGTCCCCTCTGTTGGGGAACGAGACAACACACCGACTTCAGGTCCTTCCTTTGAGGTTCACAAGGCACTACTGTATGAACCTAATAGGATAATGTTCACAAAAATTCTTTGAGAAACAGATCCATGCCTCCTTCTGCCCATGATGTACTGGGCAGCTCCCCCCTCCACAGGGGGATTTGGATGGAATTGCTTCCATGCTCCCACAGGGGCACAGTGAGGTTCAGAGTGGCTAGACGGGGTGGCAGGTCAGCCGGGTCACATGGCTCAGCCCTCAGACAGGGCTTGGTGGCAGTTCAGTGACACCTGCTACATGCACCTTCTCTCATCTCAGACAAGGAGTGGGCAGTGTGAGGAGCTTGTCCCCACAGCACTTGGGATGTGCGGCTGGAGGCTACACCTCTGTGTGCGGGGCTAAGGGGGGGACCTGTGATGTCACCAGAGCCTGGAAATTGCTTGTCCTCCTGCTACTGGCTGAGGCTGTCCGGGCTGCCTGCGTCACCTCTGATGCTCCAGGACACTCTCGGGGCCTCCTGACCTCAGATGACACAGCAAAGGCAGCCCACAGGGTCACTTAGGGTACACTTGTCCACCATGAATGTCATCTGGGCTTGGGAGCACCAGAGCCGGGCCGGGCCAGGCCAGGCCCGAGGCAGATCCCAGGGTCCCTGGGGCCCCATCCGAAGG